GAACAGGAGGGGATCAGTGATTGCTATCAGATACAGAGCATAGAGGAGGGACTATAGAAAATTTTAAAACTGCGCAACAACTACTGTTCTCTGCAAGAGTTAGACTTGATCAAAACAATGACCCTCACTTGGCGCGTAAATATGCTTTATCGAGAATACCTGCCACTCAAAGCTCATAGTTTTCTTCAAGCTTTGTGTGCTCCCCGAACTGACTATGTGCGTTCAAATATCAAGGAAATTTTCTGCGTCAAACAGAGGTTATGTAATAAGACTTCCAACTGGTGGTTTTAAATGGAGATGCTCTCAGTGCATCACATACCTTCTGTTACAGCCCTCCACGGAAGCACTGTTAATAAAAACAGCACCAAAACCGGGCTCATTATCCTTCACTAGGTTCTCTTCACTACTTCAGAGGCAATTCTATTTTCTGTTGAGCGTAGAAGGTTAGACCAATAACGTCAGCGAAGCTAAAAATGCAATTTTGAAAAAAGCGGAAAAATCTTTGATTAAATCTTCTTTGGGTTTGATTGCATCACTGTTGGTTAACATTGAAGACACTGACGTGAATTAACAAGATGGGGATCGGGGAAGCCTCATTATTGAAGTTAACTGTTTACTTACAAATTTCAAGATGGAACTCAAAGATTTTCTTCCTTTTATAAGAGGACAAACCAGCCTCTCGTACATTGTTTCGATAGAACACGTGTGGCTCCTACTAAATTTTAAAAAGGTTCTAAAATAGAAATGAAATTTTAAAATGAAACTTTAACATTTCACGGATGGGTGGAAGAGGGCTGAATTCCAGACCACGGTCCACATCTTGAGACATCGCCACAAGGAGTACATTGATGTTTGAATTGTGTCAAATGAAGCGCTTCAAACAAGCCAGCAAAACGCACTCGTCCAAAGAATAAACATTCCTGAAAGTCCAGTCTAACTTGCTCTCCAACATTCACAAACTCTACAACTGCGACCACTCTATGATAATTAAGCTTAATTTCCTTTCAAGCTTAATGTGAACAAAATGATTAGCCTCTCATACTCGTAATTTCAGGATCACGTCAGAACGATGATTTCCAATCCAATTATGTTTTTTTAGGCGACACCTCAAGAAGATCAGTTGATGAAAGTGGTGCAAAACAGAGATAAACATACTTCTTAGCAAAGAGATCAAGTAACTTATGTTCTTGATTACTGCAATTAAATAAGCTGTCGTTACAGACGGGTGGCGAACGAAACGTCAATCGCTACTACCTCATTATTAGTGAACTTACCTAGGGCTGACAAGTTTCTTTTAAAAATCTTGCAGGTCTCTTCCTAGTTTGAATGCAACTGCAGTAACTGAGCTAAACTTTCCAGAATTTATTGCCACTGAAGACATTTCGTTCTTTAGCTAACTAATCTAGTAGTCCTTATAACAAAGACCTTAAAGCGGTTTGTTCTGTCGCATTTCTTGCAACACAACTTTCTTACAATCCCTTGTGGTCAAATACAAATTACATACCAACCTTACAAAATTCCTCCCCAAGACGACTACCTAAGAATTAGAGCGCCAAAGCTTTTTTACGACATTATAGCAATTTGCAACAGCATAGTAGTATCAAGACTTCGATTTTGTACGCCGCCATACAATGACTGAATTCAAACTCTTTACGAATTAATGACATGCAAAAGAACACTAGCAACTGGTTGTGTTATCTTGGTGCTACCTGTTATGAAATAAAAACCTTCCTTCTCTTCTTTGGATCGAAAAAAAGGTGATATTGATTTAACTGTCGCCTATGTCATTGGAAGTGTAAGAAAAAGAGAAACGCAAATTTTAGGGAAGTGCAGTTTTTTTCGAGTTCTTAAAGGTCGCGCGAGTGACCTTCGCAGGGCTAACATAATACACACTGCTACGTATGATTCCGGTCTAAAATTTTCTTAAGTTGCATACCAACATTAACGCTTGAGTCCATTCTTAACTCAAGTATTCTCCATATTTAAAAGCAAGGGGTGAAATGAGCATAGTTTTGGGTAAGGTAGGATACACCAATTACAAGAAAACTTATTACAAATTAGAAATGTCATCACTTTGAAACTCGAAACTTAAAATTTCTGCGATTAATGAGCGTTAAATTCTTCTCATCTTCATACCAACGAGCAAAAAACTTAAGCCACCTTTGGAACGGCACCTCTTAGATAGTCTGGTTCAAAAACCGAAAATGTAGCTTCATATTCTATTTAGTATAAAATTTGTTCATCGGAGGAAACTCAAACAAAATGGCGGATCGTAGTGCGGGTGGTTTGACAACCGGAAAAGCATCTCAATCCAATACATTTGAATTTAGTAACTTCTGATATATTCGATTTGCAAATAGTTTATTTTTCACTCTGTCACAATGATCTATTTCAGCACTTGAAAATTGTATAAATTTTATCTCTTCGGGCTAAAAACCGTATTTCTCCTACAGAACGGGTTATTTATAATTCTCGTTATATCTCTAGTCAGGAAATTGTTGACAAACGTCAGCTTCATTTACAAATTTTAAGTTTAAATCTTGTAGATCTTGTAGAAACACATATAGTAGCTTGATGTTTCATTGAATCATAAAGTCAATGTTTGAAGGAGCTCGAGGAGTTAGAGACGTTAAAATCTTTCTCGAACTCTGATACTTTTGGTTCTAACTTATCAGACAATAGAACACATTCATTAACATTGGAATTTAACTTACCTTTCAGTTTCCAAAACACAAGTTTCGACGCGATAAAGTCCAATATAATAGAAAGATTTTTTGCTCTTATTGCACGAATCACGTCATTTGAAAGCAGCTATATTTCCCTTCTGTTTGTTGCTCCAAGAGAGCTTCATGTCCCTCAAAATTATTTTTTTCTCGTAACAAAAGAAATTCAATATTAATGATCTCTTGGAAGAACGAACTGGCCTTTTTTACGCAGGACCGTGATTAAACATTGATTTGCCTGACCAGGGAGGACTTAACGACCATGTGAAACTACCTGCTGACCAAGTTTATAAAGGAGGAAACAAAAACAATTAAAAGAGAACAAGTGATCTTTTCTATTCATTGCTTGACATATTTTGTTTTTCAGTTGTATAGCAAAGTCAAATTGACTGCAATGGTCTTTGTACGCGCCCTTGTAACTCCCAGCCGTAATAGATTATGTCAATATCATGAGAATAAAAAGGGTCGAGCCTGAACTATATTTCCTATTTTTTTCAGGTTTTGTTTTGCTTAAAAATTTTCCGTTCCAGAAATATTACGCTAAACAACGTCTCGAACAGTGAAATCTGACAATGGCGGAAGAACATCAACGTAGTATATAAGAAAAAAAATAACATTGCTCTTTTCGTTCCTCTTAGATCATATTTTGTATTTAGTTGTCAAATTCCTCTTAAAATTAATTGGGAGACAGAATTCACTAGATGTAACGGTTGAATTGATTTGTTTGAAGGTTGATTTGAGGTTAACACTTTAATTATTCGCATGTCAGAAACACATTGGAATTGGTTTCGCTTAAGTTGTCACTTAAACCAACCGTTAAATCATGCTCTGAAAAATAAACAGCTGTAGATGGCAATTTTCTTTAGAAGACTGTTAGTGTACCTCTCACTTAACTCTTTTCAGCGACCGTATTTTCTTTTTTTTTTTTTTTTTCGTTTCTGTCACACTTGGTGAAACGATTCGGGAATTCATTTTAAGAAAATAGGGAGGAACTTGTTAGGGTAACGATATCTCTTCGCATAAGCTTGTAGTTTTGATTTTTGTTTGCTGGAAATAACTCCTCTAATTAAGAGAGAATACCTTATTTGAACAGTCAAATTTAAAAACATGTCTGATAACTATTTCTTGAAATTGAGGTCTTTTCATAAAGCCAGGTGAATGGCGTATACAAAAAATTTATCCAATTTTAATTGATGTAGCAAACTGCGAGCTTATTCCTCTAAAGATACCCACCACAAAGACAAAACGTCCCCTTTCTTTCAAATGCTTACGTTCAAGAGTCGATCGCAGACAATGGTATGAATTGACATCGCATGTCGTGGAATACACAATAGATTGAAACCGGTAGTTCTATCGTTTAGAGAAGAGTACTTGTTTGGTGCCCTGAAAATGAATTCAGTTAGAAAACATCATCGTACTTCAGTAACACACGCATCTTTTCCCCCCTATATCACTCAGCTAGCTTAAATCCAAGCATTATTATTTACAATACTACAAAAAAAAGGCTCACGTTTTCGAAAGGCTGAGCAGAGGCAATTTGCCTCATGAGCCTACAAGTGAAGGGGCGGGTCCAGCTGTCATGCACCTTCTGGAAGGTCAGCCTCCTACTGGTAGCGAAGAAAATGTCTCTTTTCCAATAGTTATTTTTTTTTATTAAAAAAAGATAAATAATTAAACAATAAAATAATCATCATTAAAATAAAAGTCACAAACTTAGGAATAATACACTATTGGACTCATACTGACAGCTCTTATCCGTCCTATTTAAGATTTTTTTTAACGTCCTAAAATTGTTTTAAAAACTTTCTTAGTATTTATCTATGGGAACCAAAAGTTTAAAATCTCTTGTGGGGACCTCAATGCTCTTACTCGTTCAAGCAGAACTCCCAGGGATGGAAGGGAAATTAAGAAGATTTGAATACGACGCAGGCAATCAAAGTGTTTCTAGATAAATTTTCGTCCATTACTTGACAATTTCATCGTATTTCTTTATAGTGAAGACACGTAATCCCGGCATGAGTTTTTATGGGTGTAGTCGTCTGCATTGGTCTAGGTTTGAAAAAGATCCGTTTCTAGGGTGGATATGTTTAAAGGGAGACTTCACAGGCAGTCGTTTGCATCACTTGTCTAGCCTTGACTGTGGCCGATAGGTGAAGAATTTTACAAATATGCGTTTTCGGGGAAAGATTGATACCAAAACGAAAAACGTTGCGTAGAAGAAACTAAATTTCATCGTTTTAAAGGTACGGGACTTGATAATATCGTATGGCGCAAAAATGAGGATTGAACTATTTTCTTTATTACCCAGTTTTGGTGATTTGCACAGGAGAAAGCAAAACTAGCTTCAATTAACATCAATTGCATTCAAGGAAGTCAATCTAAAAAACATAAACAGACCAGCGAGTTATGTCCTGGGATTCCAGATTTCCGTCTCACAGTCAGTGATTGGTACTTTTAACCTTTTTTCTTTCCTGTAGAATAGGATGAAAACCCATAATATAATCATTAATATAATCATTAATATAATCATTAGTATCATCATTAATATAATCATTAATATAATCATTAATATAATCATTAATATAATCATTAATATAATCATTAATATAATCATTAATATAATCATTAATATAATCATTATGACAATTCATTTGATTGACCGTTGGGAGATATCTCCTAATATAAACTTCATTCTTTGTATTAACAGAGCAGAACTAGTTTCGCCACATTTAGTTTGTAAAATTAAGCTCAATTCTTGTTTCATTCGAGGGTTACTTTCAATCAATAGGAAATAAAGGGACCTCAACGTTTTCTCGAGTTGAAATTCCCGGCCTTTTACGGTTCTGAGTTTATTCTTGCCGTATACATACGGGAAACATAAATTTTGTGTCTTCAATAACCCTACCCACTTGAAATTTTTCATCGACGTCAGATTTGCTGTGCTCACCTTTCGTGTGTTTGGTAGCGTTAACATGCGGTTTAAGATCGGCTAACGCTTTTGTTAATAATGGAGTTATCTTGACACCAGCTGGTGGATCATAACCTGAAAGAAAACAAAAAAAACTCAATGTCAAATAAAATCAAACAGTAGTTGCAGAGGTATAGGATGGGAATTATTCCACGATGTTCATTGAGCCCACGATAATTGTGTCTGTATAGTCACGCAGATGATCATCAGAGCAGTTGAAGAAAGGTGATTAATTAAATTTTGGTACTTTAGTGTTATACCCCCCCCCCTTCCCCAATGCGGAGTGATCGTAGCAAGATGTAAGAACTAACTAGAGAGCGAATTTCGCTTTAACCACCTGAGATATTATCGGTAAGTTCTAACATCTACTACACCTGTTTTATAAATGGAATTACTCCAGTATCCTCCACAGTGCTTGTCGTCTTTGTTAGTACATTCACTCGAGCATTTCCATTCCGGAAGCAGGCCATACCGTCCTCGCTTGTTACCACAGAAGCATAGATACGAGAACTGAAGGCCAGCATATCTATAAAACAGGTCCTTACAGCTCTTGGCACACGATTTCACGGTCACTTCACGGTCGTGAACTCTTTGTGGGAGATCTCTGGGATCCGAATCTTTATAGCATCCTACGTATTCATACCCTAAGACAAATTTAGAAGAGTGAATTCTTTATAGTGCTTTCTTCAAGATTTTCAGAGCATTATAGTCCAACCATAGAGTGTTCCTAAGCAACCGATCACATGCAGGACTGAAAAATTACTTTTACCTCCGACTTGACAGTGAATGTGATTCAGTTAATGCTCAATTTCTCCTTGTGCTCAAAAGGGTTAGGTGTTTGGATCAAGATTGGCACTGAAGCAAAATGTAAAGTGACCATCATGCGGGTCAAGTTTTACATTTGTTTGCAAGAATCCCAGGAAAATCGTTTGTCAGTCTCTTAGCTAGTCACTAGAGGCGAACGAATGAGTGGGCGAGAGAACTTGGCAAGGTTTTAAAGAAGAGTGACAAGGGGCCTTCCTTAAATGTCCTTGCTGATTTTAGTTATGAAATGTTTGATAACAAGACGATTCGCAGTTTCAGTTCAGTATATAAGTTATGCCTTGTACGTGCTTAAAGCGGCTGGTATTTTGGTTTCAGTCCAGAGATAAAGCAGGAATCTGCAAAACTAATTCTACCCACTTGTAGAGTACTTTTATCAACAGATTTTTCACTCCAAAAATCAAGTGAATGCACATCACGCGCGCTTCAAAATCATTTACAGTTGTCACCGTTTTGTTTAAAATATCTTATATGGAGTCAAGCGTCATTGTTGTCTTACTAGAGAAGATAAATAATGTATTTACATGGCAACTGACTGTGTAGGCAAAGCTTATATGGAACAATTAACCCTTCCACCAAAACATCGACAAAATGGTACGGAGACCAAAACCCTTTTTTTTTTCTTTTTTTTTTGCATTAGAGTAAGAGGGTTGCTAGTTGCTAAGGCAGAGAAATTGCTCGGGGCAACAATTTAATTATAACGTACACCTAATACCTCCACAGGTCACATACGACACGGACAACACCAGTGAAACAAAGTAAGCACATCGCATGGCTCCTTTTCGTATCCACTATCTTTCAGTCTTCGCTTCACTTCCCTGGAGCTGATGCGAGAAATTCTTTAGAAGGTAATCCAAAATGGAAAAACAAATCACACAATAAATATATGACTTTGAAGCCAGCACATGAACAAGTGGTTTCATTCATGCGAGCATGTGACCGGATCAAGTTTTGACGTGATCTGGAATCTTACAATCCGTTGCCAGTGTCTCCAGAAAGATTGAGTTTCACCTAAATTCACGACTTTGTAACTAAGTAAGCTTCCAAGGTTCGTTTCGGTATTAAATAACAAAGGCGCATTACTCTATTTTGAAAGAGCTTTCAACCTCTCGGTCTTTTATGACTGAATTAACTTCGCTCAGTGACCATTATAAACGAGCTTCCATCATTGCATGATGAACCAAAGAATATAAAGCCACGAACAACACATCAAATTCTAGTAATCAAATTGAATTGATGACTGTGCGTCAATTAAAAAAAAAATCATGACATATCGTTTATGATATTATTCGATTCTTACCTTTCATTGACTACGCCTTCTAAGCCCGTAATGTCTTATCTATCCTATTGCCTTGAAAGGTGGGCTGGCGGAATAACACCCAGTCGAACAAGAAAGAAAAGGAAAGATGGTAATAAAATATTCTTTCGTTGGAGGGAAGATGACAAAGAAAGAGGAACCTATAAAATATTGAATAACGATGAAACTAGAAATGGAAGACAACCTGTCTACAAAAACATACTGGTATTGTTTCCAAGGGAGGGGTGGGTAGTGAGAGTGACTTAAGTTTTGTAAAACACTGGTCCATGTTTGAATTATTCGAGAGAATAATATATGACTTCGTACACATAAATGTTTTAGTATATTTCTCTCTATTACAAGTGTTTTTTTTTTAAATCTAAACAATTCGATAGGTATCCGAATATTTGAATATTAAGTATTTGAATACTTATACATATCTAC